ACATAAGTAGATGCCTAAGGAACTTATTACAAAGATTGCCACGCATTTAAATCTTCGCAAAAATATCTGCTGTCTGTCTTATTGTGCGGTATTTTGTGTCCATTGTGAAAAACTTATCGTTCTCGCCATTTTTTATTTCGAACTTCCCGCCACGATTCACCCTCTCCTCTCCTCGCATATTTCGCATATTATTTCTCAAAAATCCCTTACATCAATAAACAGTACAACACGCCAATGAATATCTATAATAAATTGCCATCGCACGATTTTTTCTACGACAATTTCAAAAAATAAATATTAAGAAATGCCACTTCAGAGTCTCCTGAGAAATGCTATTGTTTACAAGTGTCAGTAAAGAATCGTCTACTATTGCTGGGATGAACAATTAAAAATATCTCTCACCAGGCGGAGTCAAGTAAGAACTGGTGAATTATAGCATGGCTGGGATTATAACACCATTTTCCCGTCAATGAAGGCTTGAAACGAGATATCAAAGCCTTAAACAGAAGGATAACGAGGTGAAAACAGAGCGCTGCTTAGCCATTGTGTACCCAAGTTATTCACGAAGCAGAAAGTTATTATTTATTTTATTTTGAATTATGGGCGTTAGTATTTATTCTTATCTCTGGGTGACTATTAGATAGGGTCAAGGAGTGTCTTATCTGTGGGTGTTGTTGGTATTATTGAGGAATCAGGTTTATTTTTCTTTGTGATGAAAGAAATTGAGGAAATCTCTCTTTTGAAATTCGCCTTTTCGTATGTAAAAGAAAGTTATTCATATTTTTATTGCAGTGTGATATTTATTCATGCGTTTAACTAACATGAATAGTGAATATTTTGTGCCTGTTGACAGTGTTACACAACCATTAATAACATGGAGAATTTTTATAGATGTGAATCAAATTATTTTAAGACCTTTTATTGGTTATAAACTTTCAGGTCTGCCTTGATTTTGCTACTAGAGTTTTTATTTATGATTACTCAAATGTAAAATAACCTTGATATTGGATTTGATGTTGATATTTATAGATTCATAACACATCTAATGGAAGGTTACAGTGCATGTCTGCTTGTATTAGTGTCTGTTTAATTATTTTTACAGTATTAAAATCAGATAAAACATTGTACTTTTATTTGATTATACATATGTTACTGGAATACATTTAGATATGTTAGGTTACATAATTATATATATTATTTAGAAACAGGTGATAAGGCTTAATGATTAGTGTATTTAATATCACTTGTCCATGTTCTGATATCTTGTACTTACAGTATTAAGATAAATGATACAGGTTAAGAAACAAAATATTGGGTTTTGAACATCATTGGGTTAACATTATTTTATCATATTTATCCAGTTGGCAACTGTTCTCAGTATGATTATTCTATGACAGAGAACACATTATACAAGACATTTAGTTATGTAAGATATTTTGTTATCAAATGAGAAACCAGTGTAAGTTCTGCCTTGCTGGATAGAGGTATGATAATTTTGATGACCTTGTTATTCAATGTAGTCTAGTTATCATCTTATAATTTCATGTGTTTCATTTATATTTGTATTTCAAATGTGTCACTATTTCTGTCAAACTTTTCATTTGCCAAAGAATGCTTGTACTTCATTAGTTTAATGGTTTTGGGACCGCAGTTTTGTAGAGTTAGGGGAAGGATTCAGAGAGCCAGCAATCGGTTCCCTTGGCACCAGTTTTGCTGGTCTTGGGGAGGGGTTGTCTCTCTCCTTGGCATGAGGTACGAGGAGGAAGGGGTCTCCCTCTACAGGCAGCATAGTTGTGACTTGCATGGGAACGTCTGGGGTCCCTTGCATACCTGGCAGTGATGCTGGCGTGATGGGCTCGGGGGAAATACGGCTTCGAACCTGTTAAAGGAATGAGTGATGATCATTGTAGAAAGTTTAAGAAATGGATACAGAAAGGAGAAGTTTAAAGGTTTAAAAGTCCATATACAATTTATGTTTACATGTATATCCATGTACTTATAAAGTCATAAATCTAATACAAAGTGAGCTTTCTCCAGGCAAATCATTTTGAAGAAAAATGAGAAACAAGACAATGCCTTCAACCTTTGTCAGACTACAGACATACCCTCTCACCTTAGTATTCTGCCAGAGATAGAAAATACTCTGCAGAACATTGTGCAAATGACCAAGGAGGAAGAGCAAGGCAGGGACAGCTGATGGGAAGTCCCAGTCTGGCACCCATGCATACAAAAGCCGCTCCAAGAGGAAGGGAGCCCAGCAGACGGCATTGGCTGCAAGGAGTATGAGAGCCTGGGAGAAGATGATAGTGGATTATTGAGTTATTGCGTAGAAAAAAAATGCAATCTTAGTGTCTCATGTGGGATTTTAAAGATCTGTCAGTTTATATTCATTTTTAATTAATGGTGAAGTCATTAGTTATTCATGAGAAGAGAATAGTACTATTCGTACGGCTTTTGTAGTCTCCGTATTTAGTAATGAAAAGCTGAACAAGTTTCTTTTATATGATGTATATACTTCTAATGGAAGGGAAGTATATATCCAAAGTATTTACATGAAACAGGTGATAGGCATCCAGAAAATTTAATGAGTTTAGCAATGCCTACAAATAGCTATGATTTTATAGATGATTACACCTTGTTCAAGTGGTTTCATGCCTTACCTTGGAAGAGAAGTACCCATTCACTTTGACATATAATAGACCTAATGATGAGATATAATGAACTGGATAATGTACCTATACTGCTTTGTCTATTATTATCATCGTGAATAATACTAATTGGAGATGAAAGTTTGATAGAATTTTTAGAAGTAAAAAAGTTAATCACTGAATATTTCATGATCATGTCATTTTTTAAATCTTTTTGTATAATATAATGTAATTGATTCTCTTAAATTTATATAAAACCCTCATAGTGAAATCTGTGTTATACCCAAGTTTAATATGAAATTTTCAGCACACATTATTATGCTTCTGAACAACTCTAATTCAATATTTAGAATTTAACCTGATTTATACAATGACACTGACACCGGCACCATGAAGTGCCAGTGGATTATATGGTGACACCAACATTGGCGTTATAATTCTATTTGATTTTAGTTGTTCCTGAATGATCCCATATTCTGTACTGGATCTATTTTTAGACTCCATATACTGCCCTAGAGATTCTGTAGCTCCATCCACCATCCCTGTTTCCATCAATCATGTACATCAGCTTGATATACCCACCTCATACCCAGAATGAGGAACTATCATTGACCGATTCTACGTCACAATTTCCCCCTCTGTGGCCCTTCCCCCGTCTTCAGTATTCCCCTATTACTTTGCCTCACCCCATACCCCACCACCACGGATGGGAGACTGTACAGGGGGTACACTTCCCCCTCTTTGGTTCATTCTCTATCCTCATACACTCCCTCTCCCTCTCCTTCATTTCTCAAACATTTTATGCCAAAAATCTTTGAATGATTTCATATTTGACAATCTTTGCATCTCTGTCTCTCGCTTTCTCTCTCTCTCTTGTGCGTGCGTGCATATGTGTATGTGTGTGTGTTTGTGTTTGTATGTGTGTGTGAAGGGGGAAGAAAAAGAGAGATCCATATACAAGCAGCACACGCTTTTTAAACCAATAGCTCGAACGGGTTAAAAGGATTATATTCATTTCTCTCAAAAGACAAAATATTTCAAACTTGTTTTTCTTCATCTCACCTGAAGGACAGCCTTGCGCAGTTTTAACCAATTGTTGTTTGTGGTCTCAGTAAGTCTGGAGTGTCTATAATGGGAGAGTGACCATGCCATGTACAAATTTAGTCCTGTTGTGGCTAGAAGTGGCAATGCAAATACCCCAGTGAAGATGATGGTTGTGTAGCTTTGAAGAAAGCTCTCCTGGAAAGGGAAAATTTTGTTTTTAAATTCTGTTTGTGCTGAAAAATTCAGTGCATAAATTATATGTTATGTATATAATTGTACATGTTATGTACATAATGGTTAGATTTTCTTTTACCATACACTTTTGATACAAAGAACATTTCTAACCTTGGTGTAACATATGATATATAATGTAGGCCCAGTTGCTGTCAGAGATTCATTAGAAATGTTCTCTTGTGTAGAAGGGATCTGACTGGACAGCACGTCAAATGCTGTGTTGTTGGCGACATTTTGAGCATCAGGTATTTGTGAGGCTGTCTTAAGCTTGGTGGTCATGTGTTCGTTAAGAGGGGTGGATGTTGTGGTTGTGATGGAAGTATCAGATGTGGGCTTTTCTGTGAAGGCATTGGTAGGGCATAGTGGAGGTGTTGGAGCCGCCTCCTCTACAGTTGTTTCCGTGGTAAAGATTTTTACTTCAATCTCTTCGGAAACTTGTTCATCAGATGTAGTATCATCTGTGGATGCTACATTTGCCTCTATTTCAACTTCTGTAACTTCATGATCTATGTGAAAGGTAGTCACTTCAGGGGATGTTATTAATGTATCATTGTATACTTGAGTCACAGATTCCACCTTGTTATTGTTTACAAGGACGCCATCAAGGGTTGTTACAACATGAGATGAATCAACCATGTCATGTAAACTAGTGGTTGTCGCAGGCTCAGCATTAGTTGTGGTAATTAATGGTAGTTCAGAAAGTGAGACTGAAGGATTGACAGTCTCAGCTACGGGTCCGTGAGTCTTCTGTGTCTCGGTGAATGATTGGGTTGTGATGGCAGGAGTAGTTGAAGCCTCATGGTTTTGCTCTGTTATATGATCCAGGTTAAGGTTCCCATTAGTTATTCCCTGATCCGTAATATCCTGAAGGGATTGTACAATGTTTTGAGGACCAGTCAGAAGCTGAATAATGTCAGCTAATGAAGGCAGGAATGTTTTTGCCAGGTTAGGACTAGGCTGGGATGCACCTGTTGTTTCATTTTGTGTTGTATTACACCCAGTCACTATGGTCATATCAGATCTTGAAGGGAGGTCTGGAGAGGAAGGAGTGTCAGTAACTTTTGTAAGAATTACCTTGTTGTAATTCAATGGTGAAGCAGTTATGTTGAATCTCCGCACTGGAAATTTTGACAGGATGTTATGATATCCAGGGGAAACATTTACTGTGTGTTCAAGTATTGGTGAATGACCTGTATTATTTTCACTATAAACATCCTGTAGCTTATTGGTGGGAGAGAGATTAAGATCATTAAAGCTGTAGTTAAGCTGGTTATCTTGGGTAGGTGAAGAGAAATTCTGAACAATACTACGCACCAAATTAACGATAATCTCTTCTTGTTGGTCAGCAGAGGAATCGTATTGACTGTTATATGCCCACAAATTATCCAGAAGGCGCCGTGTGTGACGAATTTCCTGACTTTTTTCCCAGTAAAAAGAAAAATCTTTAATAGTGTGGATAGAGTCTACATGGGTGTTACCCCAGAGTACTATCATGAATGTGAAAGCACTGAGACAGGTTGTCATTGTCCAGGTGAAAGGAAAGAATCGGTGGAACTTACTCGACTGTGACACAGAATTTCTCACGACTTGAAACCTCTCTATGGCCATGCCTAGAGCGGAGAAATTTACTGCAACCAGAGGAAACACTAGCAAAATGTATATCACATAATATCTATGGCACGAGTTACTGTAAATCAACTGGATAAATTGAAGGCAGCCATCACAGAACACCCCAATGCCTGATAGTACTCCTGCTACTGTATCAGTGAGCCCATAGACAGTGAGAGACATCAGTGGCTGCCGGGAATGAGTTGCAAGAAGAATCATTGCAATTGTACTCAGGAGGAACCCAGATCCACCAACAACTATGTAAAGTGATGCGATAAAATGTGATGTAGACATTACAGTGTGCTTGGAGTTTCAGTTTAGCAAATTATTTTCTCTCGGTAGAATAGACTGTATCAGCTTTTGAAGTTGGTGTTAGTGTTCACAGTCACTTCCCACTGTAGCCAAATATCCATTGCACAGATAGAAAACACAGTAGCTGGAGAAGAAGGAACACCACAAGGCACCAGCACCTAGCTATAACTGGTGTGTGTGTGTGTCATCTGATGCAAAAACCCAAACACTTCCTTCTCTCTCTCTCATAACTTTCCCTCTCCCTTCCCTCCCCTGTCTCCCCGCTCCCTCTCTCATTTTCCCCATATTCCTAACCCCAACCCATATCCCCCCCACCATACTGCCCCCCCCCCCCTCCCCCTTCTCCTGCTACACTCCTATCCTCCCCCTACCCATTGCTCCCTTCCGCCTACCCCACTACCCCCCCAAACTCTCTACCCTTATGCCTCTACTGCTTCCCTCCCACCCTACTATCACCTACACCCATCTTCCCCTCCCACCCCTACTACCCTGCTAGCCCCTACCCCATCTTCCCTCCCACCCTTACCAGCAGCACCTGCTCCCTGTCAAAAAAAGGACCCTCATTGTGACTCACTACGATCCACATATACTTGCATTTCCCATAGGGGTGAATCAATACAATACCGTGCTAACTGTGTCTTCTTCCCCCGTTTTTTTTTCCAGTATGGACGTTTTTGTGTCAATTGATTCAGGTTTTATGAAAGTGTTATAGCGATTTTTGTAGTAGTTGTAATTGTTGTTGGCTTTTCTTCTTTTCTCCTCTCTCTCTCTCTCTCTCTCTCTCTCTCTCTCTCTCTCTTCTCTCTCTCTCTCTCTCTCTCTCTCTTCCTCTCTCTTCTCTCTCTCTCTCTCTCTCTCTCTCTTTTTTCTCTTTCTCTTTCTCTTTCTCTTTCTCTTTCTCTTTCTCTTCTCTCTCTCTCTTCTCCCTCTCCCCCTCCCCCTCCCCTCCCCCCTCTCTCTCTCTCTCTCTCTCTCTTCTCTCTCTCTCTCTCTCTCTCTCTCTCTCTCTCTCTCTCTCTCTCTCTCTCTCTCTCTCTCTCTCTCTCTCTCTCTCTCTCTTTTCTTTCTCTTTCTCTCTCTCTCTCCTCTTTCTCCCTCCCCCTCCCCCTCCCCTCCCCCCTCTCTCTCTCTCTCTCTCTCTCTCTCTCTCTCTCTCTCTCTCTCTCTCTCTCTCTCTCTCTCTCTCTCTCTCTCTCTCTCTCTCTCTCTCTCTCTCATAATGATGATGCATTTTATTTTATTTTCCTGATTATTATGATTGACACTTTTTCTGATGATGTTGATTATTAATACTATTGTTGTTAGTTATTATTATGATTATTATTATAACTATAGTTGTTTTAATTGTTAGGGTTATTATTATTATTGTTGCTATGGGTATTATTAACATCATCATCATCATTATCGTTGTCATCATCATCATCTTCATTTTATTATTATTATTATTATTATTATTATCAATACTATTATTTTTATTATTACTGTTATTGTTATTTCCATTTTTATTAATACTGTAACATTTATTGTCATTGTTATCATTGTTACTCTTATTAGTAGTATTAGTATTATTGTAATATATTATCATTATTTTTATTATCATCATCGTCATTATTCTTTCTTTTTTATCATTATAATTTTTGTTATTATTGTCATTATTATTGTTATTTTATTATTATTATTATTATTATTATTATTATTATTATTATTATTATTATTATTATTATTATTATTATTATTATTATTATTATACATTATTAATTATTATTTATTAGTAGTGTAGTAGCTATTATTATTAATTATTATTAGTAGTAATATTATTATTATTGTTATTGTTGTTATCATGATTATTGTTATTATTATTATTATTATATATTATATTATTATATTATTATTATTATATATATTATATATATATATATATAATATATATATATATATATATATATATATGTATATGTATGTATGTATGTTTGTATGTATGTGTATGTGTATGTGTATGTGTCCCTCCGGCCTGATGAATATTCTTATGTATTGACAAGCTTATACACAGAATTAATGCGTATCTACCTATTTGTCTGATAGATATACATTTATCTATCTATCTATCTGGTAGATATGTATAGCTAGACATAGATATGCATGTCCATATAAGGAATATTCGATGGGTCAGGCTTCGCACAATTTTAACAGACCAACCAATGATCTTTACAGGTATTTTCCGTTTTGGTAAATTGTTCAATGAACTAAAGAACCGTAAAATTGTTGTTAATGTTTGAATTTTTATGTTGATATTATGATTTTTATTATTGTAATAGTTGTTATTATTATTATTGGTATTGATTTTTATATTTTTTTTTATTTCAATATTTTTTTGTGTTATTATTATCATTAAGAATTTATGAATTTTATTTGTTTTAGGGGTTAGAATTGCTTTATTACTGTTCTGAACATTAGATCTGCTTATTTCATATAGTTAATAGTAATGATAATAATGTTAAATCTTTAAGTTTTGCTGTAGTATCTGTAATCATGATATATATTGTATGGTTAGGTTCTGTATAATGAAGCAAAAATTTGTTAAAAGATATATTAATGAGATTCAAATCTTTCAGAAGACAAGATATTTGATTAATGTTTCCAAAGAATTGTAGACATTAACACTCTTTCTTTCTTTTCACAGGTGATGCCTGTGCATGCTCGATGTCTTGACTCCCAGTAGGAATTCCAAAAATAAAAATAAAAAAGGTTTGGTTCGCACACCTTCACCAAGCGTGGAAAATGTTTTTGTTTCTCGTTGCATCCCTAAAAGCCCTTACGCTGTCACTCTCACACTGCCCTGACCCTCCTTGTTATTGACTGCTTGCATGGATTTACAGTTCTACCTCTCCCTCGAAGCCGCACGCATAACCCTCTCCCTGCCCGATGTTGTTCCACACTATAGGAAAGATGATGTCTACCAAGAGCTGTTGGTATCTCCCCCTGAGCTCAGCTTCTCTGGTTTTGACCACGATGAGCAGGGCAAATATGCATTTAAGCTCGACAGGCTGGTGGGGTCGAGCAGGCCACTTAGTGAGGACGAAGGTAGGCTGGCCGCAGCTCGGTCAGTCAATGTATAACAGCACCACCAGCTTGGGGCATGTGCCAGATTAGTGGGAAGGGTTTTGGTTGATTTTCATTCATTAGTGTTTTAATATTTTATTTTTATTTCTGTCTTTCTTTCTTTTTTTCTCTCTTTTTTGGCAAATAATGGTTTAGATTGAACAAATATCTTACAGTCAGCTGGGGAAGACTGGCAGATGCCTTGGGATTGGTCCACTTGTAGAGAGAGCTTAGTATGAAGCAATTTGCAGAGTTTAAGCATTTACTCACGAATATTGTATATTGCTAACAATATATGTATATACATCTATTTTTTTTTTTCGTCAAGTGTCTTGATGAGTAGAAGTTTTAGTTTTTTAGTTTGGTTTTAGAGTCGTTTTAGAAGTCCCCAACAGAGCCAACTCCCTTCAAATGTTATTGAGATAGATAAGATCTGAATCAATCCCTCAGAACTGAGATGGACAGAATGTAAATCTGAATATTAAGAAAAGGAATGAGAGACAGACACACAGACAGTGTGTGTGTCAAAATACAATGATTTGATTTCCAGTACTGTTCTGAGGCAATCTGTCCAATAGCTGATTGAACTAGATGATAAGATTTTAAGTTTTTTTCTTACATACACCTGTGGTAGCATCACTCTTGTCACTTAAATCAGAAGAATGTCACAGTAGACTTCCATATGATATATTTATCTTGATTATAAAGAAAGATAGATCTATTTTAAATTGCAAACGTGTGGTCATTAAACACTGGCGGATCCAGAAATTTGGGAACTGAGGAGGGGTGCATATGCTATTGGATCTGTGAATTAACTGAAAGTGTATTTTCAAATAAGCGGATTAATTCTACAATGTTATCAGTCTTCTTAGCGTCCCCCAGTAGACCTTGTTTGGGTTGTTTTGTCTATTTTGCATTTTTTGTTTTATTTTTCTGGGCAGCCAAACAGAGGCACGCACACCTGGTGTACCTCCCCAATAAGTCAGCGCATGTTAAAGTAGCCTTTCTAGTAACTGCACCAGTCTTCAACATTTTTTTAAGACTAGTACTATATTATCGCAGGGATCCATACGTATATGCCGTAACAGAAGGACAATTCTAACCTGAGAAGTACCAGAAATACGCATTACATACTGAACACTGCTTTACATACTGAATAATGACCATTATGATGCTGTGGTTAGACAACTAGTTTTTATGTTTAGTTTAGTTATGCATGTATTTATTTATATATAAATTTCCTTACTATTATATTTAACTCATATAAGACTACATGTGTTAGTTTGTGTGTTTATGCTTAGTTTAGTTATGTGTTTATTTATTTGTTGACTTTTTTATTTATTTACTATTATATTTTATGCCTGCATGGCTATGTGGGTTTATAGTTTCCAAGGAGTTCAGTTACTATGCTTACCTGACCTCACTTGTTTACCCAATTTTTTAAAACTGATGGGGGAACCTTGTTTTTTTTTCTTCTTCTTTTTCTCTTTCTTTTCTTTCTTTTCTTCTTTTCTTTTTCTTTTCTTTTTTCCTTTTTCTTTCTTTTCTTTTTTTCTTTTTTCTTTCTTTCTTTTATTTTTCTTTCTTTTATTTTTTCCTTCTTTCATTATTACTTTCATTATTTTGTGAATATTGTAATGGTAGAAGGATAATGTAAAGAATGAAGATAATTGTATTAAAGATAAAAAAGGGTAACAAAGTGAGGTGTGATAGGCCTAGTCACTGACTACTTGTTAATTAAGTGCTAAGGAAGCTTTTTTCTTTCTTTCTTTCTTTAATTGTGTCTTTTAATTTTCTTCCTTTTTTATTGTTTTTCTTTCTTTCCTCTTTTTTTTTTTTCTTTTTCTCTCTCTTTTTTTTCTTCCTTTTTTCATTCTTTCTTTCTTTCTTTTTCCTTTTTCTCTTCTTTCTTCATTTCCTTTCATTTTTTTCTTTTCTTCCTCCCTTCCTTCCTTTCTTTAGTTCTTTATTTTCCTGTTTTCTTTCTTTTCTTTCCTTTCCTTTCCTATTCTTTCTTAATTTTTTATTTTTTTTTAAGTTCTTAGTACATCTTCCATTTATTGGTGATCCTTCCCTACGTGTCTTTATTCTTGTCTTTGTTTCTATGTTTTTTCAGTAGATATAATTATTTTTAGACAATGAAGGACTTGTTAGTAGCTTTGCTTCTTATCAGTTTGGATCTAAATAACTTTTATATATTGTAATCTTTCTTGTGATTGTGGCGTATTCCTTTCCTGCTTTTCTGTTTGGTCTGTATTTTGGTATTATCAGTGTCTTTGGTTGAATTACAATTCGATATATTTCAGTTGGCGATATGCTATGTTATAACGTAAATTCCTATGGATGATATACTTTGTTATTGGTATTGTTGAAAGAAATATTGTTGATATTAGATAGGAAGAATGTTATTTTCAACAATCTCATTTTTATATTCCTGAGCCTTTATTACTAATGTTTTTTTTTCTCTCTCCCCTTCGTGTCCTCCCTCCCTCCCCCACAATCGACTTTCAACAGAATACAATATGAAAGCCACCCTGCGGCGTGTCTCGGACCCGTTGAGGTGCCAACACCTCTGGGATGCCATCACCACGATACGCAACCATAAGCAGCTGCCCTCATTCGACAGAATCCGAAGATACATGAGCCGCATGCACAACATGGAGTCAGGTAAGCTTTTCTGCTGTTATAGGTTAAGGGCTATTATACACAACGCAAAGTTGAATTCCTTGAAAAGGAGGTGTGTTGTAAGTGATTGGGTAAGAGTCGTAGGAGATTTGGATAGTGCTTCTTGCCCATCGAAGGTTATTTATGATACATGTGGGGAATGATGTAGTGTTACAAGTGTTAAAAAGAAGTCTGTTAAGTGAAATGGAAAGATTGAAAAAAGAGTGAGGGATCTCTTAGAGGATATTGTATGAAGAAATATGTTTATATATAAACTAAATTTTTACAAGCAGATACTGAAAAATGGATTTTAGTCTTTTCCAAACCTAATTTGATTTCAGTGGACAGATTAAGACATTCTTAGATATGTTTTTTTTAAATTATTAGAAGTATCAATCACAGGGATTGAGATTATTGAAAACCAGATGAATCAAACTATTTTATTTGACCACTTGATGTACTGAGCCCGACTGATCACATTGCAGATGAAGTGGAGAAGCACTTGGAGGAGTGTGCAAGCGATAACCTCATTGCTGTGACACGCAAAGTGGGACAAAAGGGTTCGAAAGTCGGCATCGAGCAGGAGGGCTTCCGGTTGCCAACGCCTCCGGTAAATATAATATTGTGTAGTTGGAGCAGTCTTTAACAGTTGTTGTTTGATTCAAATGGACTAATTAGGTAACAGCATGTCTTTTATTATGATTGTGATTATTATTATTGATATTTTGATTGTAGTAGTAGTATTGATATTTTTCTTCTTATTATTTATTAATGATCTCATACATATGAAAGCCATAATCAGAAAATACATCATATAAGACATGAACTTGCAATGCATACATGTACATAGATCTCACATTACAAGAATGATAATAGAATGGATTAGTAAACTGAATTGATGAATTGACAAGTGAAAATAACTGCTTGTTCTCTCAACTGGATTGATTAATTGATTGTTCTCCTCTCCCTCCTCTCCCCCTCCCCCTTCCCCATCTGCAGGAAGAGCCAGACCGCCACGATTGGTACTGCTTTGAGTGCCACTCGGGGGGTATGGTGGTGTGCTGCTCCAAGTGTTACAGGGTCTTCCATGAAGATTGCATCAACGTAGAGGATAAACCATATAATAACGAGCCATTTGTCTGTGTCATCTGTAAGGTTAGTTGAGGATTTTTTGTTTTTTCTTTTTTTTACTTTCTTTCTTTGTTTCTTTCTTGTTCTTTGTTTGTTTGTTTTTTTATCTATTTCTACTACTCCTCATTTCCTCATCTTTTTTTTTTTTTTTTTTGTTTTTTTGTTTTTTTTTTTGTTTTGTTTTCTTCATCATCTTTGTCTTTTCAATCTTCTCTTTCCTCTTCTCATCTTATTCTGTGTTCTCTTCTGCCTCCTCCTTTATTTTCTTATTTTTCTTTATTTTTCTTCATTGTTTTTAGTGGACACTTACTAAATCTCTATATCATTAACCAAAAGAGCCCTCAATTGACCACTAGCTGCCGGGTGGAATGTACATACTCGTCAGACAGAGTTTGTTTTTCTCCAATAATAGCAGCTTTATTTATATGGTAAAGATTTTAGGCAATAACACCTATAATGAAGGTAAACCTTCAAAATTTCAAATATTTTTATAAATTATAGCAAAATAAAAGCTTTTAGATGCCAAATGTCACTCACAAAGTACCAAACGAGCTGGGCGCAAATGGGAAATTGCTGATGTGCGCCAACAATCCCATTATCACGTCCACTTGTCAAACTTTTTTACCCGGCAGTATTGGGTTAAATGGAGACACCTTCAGTATCCATTATGTATGCTCCTTTATTGACATAACTCCCTCTTTCAGAAACGCTTATATCAGAGAAGTGTAAAGAGTCGGATTAGCAGAGAAGAATTAAACATGCTCTTAGCTTTTACAGTAGGAAGACTCAAGGAAAGAGTAAGTATTTGCCATGTGTTCAAATGCTTTCTGCTTTCTTGCATTAAATCTTCTTTGTCAGAGGTTTAACGTCTGACTTTTTAAAAATCATTCTTGTTATTGTTTTTGTTATTATTTTTATTAAGGTGAAGATATGTTTATATGTGATTACATAGGATTAAGTTTATCTTAAGGATTTGAGCATACTGAATTATAGAAACACTAATGCCTCAGTTTCAATCATTTTGAAGGAATTGTTAGTGTGATGGACATATTGATTCAAAACTCTGTCTTTAGGCAGTTTCTTGACCCTTTTCGAATATGCTATAATGATATTAGCAAAAAGAAATAAAAGTAAAACAATGCCCTTATAATGAAAGTGCCAGGATATATATGTACATAAGTGACGGAGCAATTCACTGATGATTATAGATAGATGGAAAATATACAAAATAAATAGAGATTATCTTAAAACAGTTGACTGTAACTCATAGATACTTCACATATTATTATATATGGCTCTTTCATCCTTATTCACACACTCATCATGTGCAGTGTCATCTATTAAACTTGAGTCCACCTGCTCCTCCTCCTAAGTGGAAATCTGTTAAGTGGTTCTAGTAACAGTGAAGTAAAAGTGCCATTTCATGTGGGGTGCTTTTCATAGATGAATACATAGTTGAGTATATTTATTGTCAAATTTATGTAGATATTCTTGGATATTGAAACATTATCTGTGTGTCCTACCACTATGAATGTGATGTAGAATATATAGGCCATACTCCACACTGCACAGAGTTATATAGATATTCTTGGATATTGAAACATTATCTGTGTGTCCTACCACTATGAATGTGATGTAGAATATATAGGCCATGCTCCACACTGCACAGAGTTGTTAGAATTACATAGCATCATGTGTATCTGGCATCTTACGATTATTATTACTAAGTACCATGAGCATTAGACCACTGTGTGGCTTCAAGTACAATGTGTGCAACGACACGTAACTAACTTCACAGAAATTCCTATAGCAGAGCAAAAATGTGAATCTTTAATCCGGCTCACACATTCCACGCATCGAAGTGCTTTTGAATTGGGGTGTTTAGTGCTCTTGTCTCATTTGCATAGGCCACCCTAGTAACCACGGCATTATCTCCACCTCATCTAAAGATGATTCTCCCGACGCAGCTCCCAGTAAACATCCTGGAGAGGGTGATCCCGGCCCCATCTCAGAAGCCTGGTGTGTTCCTGAGTGACCGTGCAGCCACCAGCCAGCACACTCTCACACGTTCAGATCAGCTGAGTGGGGTGTCTGCCTCCGAGCCATGGAGAGCGCAGTTGCTCCTCCACCACCAGATGGACCTCAATACCATGGAGCAGAAGACCATCGACTGCAGATACAAGACCATTTATGATTTTGAGATTGATGCTTTAACCATTGTACATAATGTAGTTATCTATCAAGGAGGTAAATGCACATT